AGCTCCAGCCCCTGGCCCCAGCCTTCAGCCCCCAGCTCCAGCCCCAGCCTCCAGCCCCCTGTTCCAGCCTCCAGGCCCTGGCCCCAGCCTCCAGCCCCCAGCCTCTCGGCTCCAGTCTCCGGCCTCTGACCCCCAGCCTCCAGCCCCCAACCTCTTGGCTCCAGCCCCCGGCCTCTAGGCCCCAGCCTTCAGCCCCCAGCCCTCAGCCCCCTTCGGTAAGTGTCCCACGCTGGACAGAGGTGGCGCACTCATGGACCGAGGCGGCGCGGTCATGGACTGAGGCGGCGCGCTCACGGACCACTACTCCTTAGAGGGAACATTGGCCCTGCCCCCCTTTTCTTCCCTCCCCCCGCACAACAGCTCACCTAAACTCCTTAAGTGGTTCTGCTCTGCAGTCAGCCTAGCAGCTGCACAGACAAGGAAAGGGTCATGGAAGCAAAGGTCATGGAGTGGCATCTGGGAGCAGAATGGGCGAGCAGGTAGGGCTAGGACTGGGATTGTGGGGTGATGACAACGCAGGGCCAGGGCCTGGGGCAGAGCCACAATCCATTGCAGGCATGGCTTCCACAGGCAGGAGCATGTGGGGAGTAGATCATAGCTCTGCTTTGGGCCCTGGCTCTTCACTATCACCACCCAGCAATCCTGGGATCTCCATGGACACTGGCTGGGACCCATGCGGGCAGGTTGCGTGGTCAGGCATGTGGGAGGAGGCTGCGAGCAAGCAGGGAGCTGCTTCTGGGACCAGGTCCAGGATCTTAGGGCAGTGACAGCATAGGGCCAGGGCTCGAGACAGAGCTGCAATTCGCTCCCCACATGTCCCTGCCCACAGAACCCTGCATAGGTCCCACCTCCAGTGGTGGGTGTGGGGCAGATAGGCCAAGGTGGCCAGGTAGTGGGGCTGGGTCCAGCAGCAGTGGCAGCTGTAGAAACTGCTGCCACTGGGGCTGCTGGGAAGCGAGTCCAGCAGCTGCACCATCTCAGGCCCACTGTATGCCTGGGGGTAATGAGACCAGCTGTAAATGCCATGGTCAGGGCTGTCCCCTGCACCTGGCCTGGGCAAGACCAAGGGACCCGCCACAGGCTGGACAAAATCTCTCAGGGGGCATATTTTGCCCACCCGG